AAAGTGACGTGCCGAAGCCATTAGATTTCTTAAGTGGCCATAATTTTATTATCCGAACAGACTAAAAAAATATTTGACAACATTTAATATTTGCAATAAATATTTAAAAAAAAGTTAAAAATATACTTACAATCTTTTTAAAAAGCTTCCACTTGGGGCTAGGAGCTCCAGAAACTGTGCTCAAAGCCAAAATGCAGGCGAAGAAAAAGAAGAAAATCTTGGCAAAATTCATTTTTAGTTTCGTAAAGCTTGTTTTTTCGAAGTAATCAATGAGATTCGAATGACTCTGAAGGTATGATGCTCCTTGCAATATAGTTCCCTTATATATACCCAGTTGTATGAATAGACTAACTTATATTTACAGTTGACAAAACTATACGATAGCAATTTGAACTCAATTGGTTTATAGTTAAGAGTGTGTTTATTATTTACTGTAGTTTGTAACAGCACGATAAGTTGGTGCTAGTAAGGTCATCTCCGGTTAAACTCGGGGCGTTTAAAGATACGGGGATTCCTTTTCAAACGGTGCTGCGGGACTTTCTTGATATCAGTATTCGGTTTTGTTTTTCAGAAATATCTCATAATTATAATTAATATTCATAATAATAACTTTATTAATGAATTTTAGCATAAGGAAAATGATGAAAAAATAGATTTTGATATTTTTGTTTTAAAGCTTAGTTAGCTATGATGAAAGTTGCAGGTTCGATTTCTCACAAATTTTTGTATGAACCACACAAATACACGTAAGTGTACCGAGTAATTTGCTTTGAAAAGACGCTGTTTGTGAAAATCATAATATAAACATTTAGTGATAAGCAAATAAAGTCAGTTTTGATAACAAAAGTTTGTTAACAACTTAGACGTAATGTTAAGTCATTATTTTAAATAACCATAACGTTAGTTTTATTGTTTCCATTATGGAGTCATAAAAATATGTTAAATGAAAAGTTTTAACCCATTATAAAGACATTTAACATGAAAGTTTTGCTCTATATGTAGGTACTCTATCTTATCCCATGGATATTATAATTTATGAAAATCTGTGAATAAATTTGTGTGTTTGTTTGTTTTACTTTTACGCAGTAACTTTTAACATAGTTAAGTTAAGTCTGAATGGATATAGCTATTTTTCTAGATTGATATAATAGACAATTTTTTTCGATATAGGTACGTACATACATATACTGTAAATTGAAAAATATTTAATAATTATTATTAGTACATTATTTCTTAGTAGGTAAGTAGGTCATTGATCATATTTTATTCAAATACCTACCTATCTTTTATGTATTATCTATACATATAATAAAATTCTAACTAAGCCGAATCTGTACATTAAATATTTTTTGGAAAATCTTATTAAAATAGACATTATTTTCGATACAGAGACCGAATCAATAGTTTTTAGAATTTTTGTCTGTCTGTCTGTCTGTTACCGCATCACGGAAAAACCACTAGAGGGATTTTGATGAAATTTGGTATGGTGATAGCTGATTACCCGGGTCAACATATAGGACTTTTTACCGCGGGAAAATATCTCATTTCTGAGAAAAAATACAAAAACTGCAATGCAAGAGTATACTAAGATTTAAAACCTAAGAATTTGGTTATTGCTCATCTGAACGCGGGCGGAGCCGCGGGCAATGCTAGTATTAATATAAAATACAAAACAAATACTAATATTAATTATAATAATTCCTTTCTCGCATGCAAAAGATAGTATAAACATGTTATAACATATACATAAACAGAATGTTAAATGCCTTGATTACATTTTGATTGCACATGGGATGTTGACTTTAGAACCTAAAATAATTTATAAGATTCGTGTAACTAAACCTCTTGGCCCTTCGAGGGTTTTAAGCTCTCATAACTCTCATAGCTGGGAGTATTATAGCACTTTTAGAGCGAGTAAAGTTTTATAATTCTTATCTTACACCATTACTATTATGGTATTTGTTTGTTTGTTTATACGTACAAGAAACTCTTGAGGAACAACTGAATCGATCACATAAATTCCTTTACTTTTAATTAGCTAAGCTATATCTAAGTAACTTATCACGGTGTATTAAATCCTTACTGTTTTAGAGTAAATGGGATGGATCTATCGGAGGAGTAATAATTAATTATACTTTAATAGCTACTCACCCTAGCTTCACTTGGGTTCGTTCCTAATGGAAAACGAAAACAAATCTATCCCACGGAAACCGTTAATTTTTTCGGGATAAAAAGTAACCTATATGCTATTCCAGACTATAATCTATCTCTGTGCCAACTTTTATCCAGATCCGTCCAGCCCTTCTAGTGATTTTGAGTAACAAACCTTCATCTAAACTTTCGCATTTATAATATTAATGGGTCGGGATTACTGTAATATGAAATATTTTGATAGTTCGGTCCTTTTAACGTTCCACTGCTAGTCATAAGCCTTTTCTCAAGGCGTTAGGTAGACCACTACCTAGCTAGCTAAATGTATATTAGCGAAATTCACAAGTCTTTCGCGAACAAGTAAAGTTTTTTCAGATGGCCAGATTTTCTTCAAAGCTTCTACAAAATTAGACGTTTTATATAAGAAACTTTTTACCTGATGTTCTCAGAAAAAGGATATTGCTTTTCAACTGTCTGTATGATTATATTTCTTCGAAACACTCTATACAGGAGTTACCAAGAACATACGAAATCCATTTGAATTAAAACATAATACACTGAGGTGAAGTTTTTGACAGTTATAAACTTCCTTTTTGTGTTACTGAAAACTTATGCAGAAGAACTTATGCAGAACTTTGAGATCAACCAAGTATAGGATTTCAAAAATCACGAAATAACTTTTTCATTTTTAGATATAGAAGTGAGTGAAGGGAGTTCAAATTCCACGCATCTCTGATAATTTCATGTGCGAATCATTTCCAATATGACTACTACTGGTCTTACAGTGGAGAAAAACATCGTGATGAAACCTGCAGGTCTAAGAAAACCTAGTAAGTTCTTGAACGACATGTAAAGTCCGCCAACCCGCACTTGGCCAGCGTGGTGGACTATGGCCTGATCCCCCTCGTATAGAAGGAGACCCGTTCCCAGCAATGGGTTTGTTAAAAAGGGCTGACATACTTTTTAATACATAATAAAACTAATAAAAACTTACTAAACACTTACTGGTTACTATTTACTAATAAATAAAGCTTGTAAAGTTTGTTTGAATGCGCTAGTTCCCGATCTATTAGTCTAACTTGTTTTTTTTTGTTTTATATCCTATTTATTGTGGAAAGCGCTTACATCACAATACGCTCGCATATAATACACTAACCTCATTTATGTGGACTCTTAAAGTCCACCCGACCCCATAGTTTTGTTCAGCTTTTCTTTTTTGTTTGCAATATCTATTGATTCTAAAATCTTAAATAAAATAAAATAAAAATAACAACAAAACATAAAAATGTTCAAAAAAGGCACGGATGTGTGTCTGTGGGTGTTAGATATACTGAAATAAAAAAAAAACATCACAATACGACTACGAGAGCGGATAATTCTGCAAAATTAAACGATGCAGGCAGAACTGCGAGAAAATGCTAGTATGTTAACATCAGACGATCTTTTGTAACATGAAAACGAATTTTACTTATAAAGTTCCTTTTTAACCACTCATATTTAGCAAACCGCTTTCATGAGGATAAAGTGCGGAATATGTTGATAAATTTTAAGTTGAGTTTCCGGATTTTTGGTGTAAATTTATTATTGACCGTGTTCAAAAGAGAGAATAACTTATTTTTTTATATTTTGTGTGTATGTATACGTTATGTTATTTATTTTTGTTCTTTTTTTTAATATGTTGGGACATTAACACACAACACCATCTTATTCCATGGTAAGCTACGAGGCCTGTGTTATGGATACCAAATAGTTAATACACTACACATATATAACTTTAAATACATACATATTATAAATATAAACACCCATGACTGGAGTACAAATATTCATGCTCATCACACAAACGAATGCCTCCAGCGGGACTCTAGCCCGCGACCGCTGGTACAACAAGTAGGGTCACTACAAACTGAGCCAAACGTGTCATCAAAACTATAATAATTACTTGTGGTTAATATATAGTATAGATTTATTATAACTTACAATTAAAATTCGTTCTCATTTTCAATCATAAATGCTGCACTGCTTTACAACAACTAACATCGATATAGGAAAATATGTGAAAATTGTAATAAAACTTATCTATTTGTATCTATCTTATATGTTAAAATATATACAGGTGGTTCCTTAAAGTTGGAATGCTTAAAAAATATAATATATTTAGGACATATTTTATTTTATATAGTTATTGCCCGCGGCTTCGCTCGCGTGGATAGTGGGAAGAGATCAAAGGTGCAGGATGAAATTTATATCCTTGACAAACTTTATCGAAATCTGTTCAGCGGTTTCAATGTAAAGAGCCAACAGAGATAATATTAGGTAGTATGAACGTATATAATTATGATCTATTAAGTATTTAGATGAGAGATACTCTGGCAATCCCAAATTGTTTTGCGATGGGACCGGAGTCGCAGCATCCATATCCTTGGTCATCATGCTATTGTCCTATTACTAATTATTACTATTCAAAGGATTAAAACTTTTGAAAAACACTAACACATATTATTAAAAACATAAATAAAATCTGAGTTATTGCAATGTTATGTTGCAAAATATTTTTTTTATAAATATATTTAATATTATAAATAAATAATGTAATATTATCGCTAGACAAAATCTAGTCAATAGCGAAATCAAGTCAGCCTTTATTTTTAACACTGTACATTTTATTACAATTGATTTTGTTAATTATACCATCTTATATTTAAAAAAATATAGCTTCTATATTATTTCATGCATTGTAACAATTATTATAATAACAATTTATCAAATAGTAGGTAATAAATAAATAAAAATAATGAATTCAATAATTTTTTATTTTTTATTTCTTATAATTTAGATAGATAATTTTATGTTTCTATAATAACATTTTCGACATCGGCATCAATAAATTTGTTGTCAGCTCGCCTTTGGGCATGATCTTTTTCACCATTGGGAAACACTAAATCACGACGCCCCGACGGCTGGCTTGCCGAGGCTGACCAAAACAACCAAGGGGTTGCTCCCACACACTCTGTTATGGTACACCGCATCCCAAGTACATTCCTTGGTTTCACACCCGTTTGAATTGCCATCATTATTTTTAACCATGACCCAGTATTTCTATCGGCGAAATATTAGACAACCATAAACATCTTCAATTTGCTTTCAATATTTCGCTCACCTTTTTTTTTATCGTCGGGAAATGCATTTACGCATACCACCTGATCCCCTAGTATCCCTAAGTACGTTTTGAGGCTTAGTATAGAATAGTTTATTTTTTCAAATTTTTTTAGGTGTTTTGTTCTGATTTTTTAATAGTTACTCTGCTATTCGGGGAAAAGACAAATCCAATAAAATAAAGATCATAAAAATCGGCTTAGTAGTTTTCGAGTTATAACTGTTATAACAAACCCGACTTAGTTTTATATTATAATATATAGATTCAGAAAGTTATTTAAAATGGGAGTAGTAACCGAGTGATAACGCGCTTGTTTAAAAGTGATGAACCTTCCGGGTCTCGTATCTCTGATATTTTCATGTGCCAATCATTCTCAATTACATTGCCATGTGCCGCGTCGCATAGCTTAGAATGAAATTAATATTATTATTATTAGAATGAAAGAAACCATATTGAGGAAACCTGCATGTTTGAGAGAACCTAACTATATATGGCCTCGCATTAAGAGGAGGCCCGTGTCCAGCAGTGGGATGTCAAAAAGGGCTGAAATATTACTATTATGTCCATAGTAAGAATTTCACAGTCACATGTCTTTAAAGGGAGACGGGACTTCATAATGGGTTTCCCCAGCAATATAAAAAAGGAGGTTCTAATCGACTCCCAAGATTTCATTAAATACTTACAAGTGAAGCTAATAAAAACAATTTAAAAATGCGTCAGCATTCTTTGTGCTTTATTCGTTTTCGCGAAAGTTTTTCTACTAACAAAATAGGGACTTTTTAAAAACATTTATCGATAATTATTATTACACATATAAGCTGCATTTTTGTATTACGAAAGAATGCGTTAGATTTCACATCCTGTATAGCGGTTAAATGCTGCCAATATCACTAATATGAGGTACTTTACCGGTGAATCATTCGCAATGGGGGCATAGAGACAAATCGATAATGCATGACGTATGAAATTGTATAACACTAACTACTGTGCGTGGCTTCGCATGCGCTTTTATAATAAAAAGGTGATATTTTAACCGACTTCGAAAATATTTCATTTGCGTGTGTCTTTTGTGTATATTAAGCGATCTTTTTTTAGTCAATGGTTAAGCGATTTTTACGGTTTTTCCCCTAATACAAATCCATATAAATTAAAACAAAACTAATACACCTAGGTAGAACAAAATTAAAAACAACGGTGGGCCTGAGGACAGGACATTGGCATCTCGATAAACATCTTTTTAATTTAGATATCATAAACAGTCCCCTGTGCAGAGCGTGTCTTCAAGGGGATGAAATTCGAGCATAATGAATATAGTGAACTGGAATACCTACGCGAAAAACTAGACTCCAGGGTTCCCTTCCATAAACCTTCTAGGATACCGGCAGCCTGTTAGACTATCGGAATGCCCTGGGATGAAAAGAATAACACACATACAATTAGTACAAGCAATAATTACCTAAGTGCGAAAAAAGCCATGCAAAAAGAAGAACGATATTTATAAATTCATAGTTAAGGATGGATTTTGTGTTATATTATTTAAGTTACTTTTAAAATATTTTTTGAAATTCGTACCTTTTAATTCAAAAACTTACGATAGCACCTTCGAGTTTTAATAGCTTATCACAAAAAAAAAACGATTCCCCATTGCAAGTTAAAATGTGGATAAACAGACGAACAAACATAAAATATTTATATTACACTTTCTTAATTAAAGGAGTTAGCTATAATACATAATTTCATTATACGTTTACTTTCTTTAGTTATAACGAAATAAACAGCTACTAAAATTGACTGTATCTACGAGTAGTTAAATTTATTAAAATTGGTAACATAAGTTCACTAATGCTGTATTAGAAAAAGAATTTCTACGTTATATGAAAAAACATTTACGCAATTTTAGGGCGAGATTTAGTAAAACACGTTCCATATTATAGTCGTTGTCTTGGCAAGGTTTATATAAATTGTAATAAGCGTCTGATAAGCGCCTGCCATCTTTTTTATAGCAACAACACAAACGTGCTACAATTCTTTCTCTTTATTTTAAATTTTATATGAAATCTTACTAACATATTATTATGCTAGCATGTCATAATTTTGCTTAGACTTAAATGATTTTTTAATGAATACTGATATTCTACGGGAAACAATAATATACTGAAATAACCTACGGAGTTATAAGTGCTAAAAGGGTTTATAAAAATATAATTAATTTAACAAATAATTAAAATAGAACTGAGATAGATTTTTTTAAGTTATAGCATTTCTCGTGGAATATAAGTATTTAGTAAAAAGTCACTAGAATCTGAGCCAAATGGTGATACCCTCTTTTCTATTAATATTGGGAAATATAAACCTTTTTAATACTTATAATAATTAATTAGGCACCTAAGCTTATATAACTATTTTTCGTCGACGCCATACTGAATTTTTTTGCATATCGCTAGAGATTCCAAGTAATCTTGGGTGGTAGTATAAATTATTTTTTGTAAATAAAATAGCGAAGATTAATAGTTAAATCGGTAAACTTAAAAAAAATCACATGAAAATGAGGTCAACTTGCAATAATAATAATAATATTATGTTTGCTTTTTAGCCATGGAACCCTAAAAAGAATTGTCAAATTGTATAGTATAAATAGGACAGTTCTGTGAAAAATAATATGTGTTGCTATACAAAAAATATGTTGAGAATATGTCAATCTCAACCTTTTTTCCTTAAAAATCTGAAACAAATTTTAATGCAAATACTAGTAGCTGCTATCGTATTCTTTGCTTTAAAATAGAAATATAAAGAATATCTTCTACCATCATGAGCGTTGTGAAATATGATGTTGATTAAACAAATACATAACGTAAGTACCCTAGCTCTTGCAAATATAAATAATTGATAAGGTGATCAATAGTTTTTAATCTTAACCCAATTCAATTAGTCAAAGTGTGAATGAAAAAACCGTCCGTTCGTAAGTATAAAAACTTTAAAAAAAACCTGGCAGTCGGTGGTTATTTATTTTTTAAAAGTTTTCATTTGTCCATTTTGAGTGTAGTAAAGTTTATTAATAACATGTTCGATTAAGCAATTTATTTAAAAAAAGTCATTTATTTGTTGATTTAAAAAAAACCGCTTGACCGATTTCGATAAAATTTATATGGGACCACCTGGGAAGTACCCTTTGAAACAAAAAAAAATCCAATTCGGTTCAGGCGTCTTCGAGCAATCGGTGAACATACATTAAAAAACAGATTCCAACGAATGAGAACCTCCTCCTTTTTGAAGAAGTCGGTTGAAAATAAAGTGTTTCACATGCTGCTGTCAGTTAAAAAAAAAGAAACTTATTGTCTTATAATAATAAATGAGGTTTTGCATTTAAATAAATGACTTTTCTAAAAAAAACGCAATTTTATATTTTTTCTTAGCCCGGTCGCCAACTTTACTAACTATAGCTATTTATGAGAAAATACAGATAATACATAGAAATGACTTTTTCTGGTTCATAAAACTAAAATATGAGTATATAAATAGAATCTAGAACAGTAGGTAATGGTGACAGGGACTGTCACCATTACCTACTGTTCTATTAAAACTCAACTGGACTCAATTAAAACAAATCCGGCTCTCGCTCAAGCCGAATTAATAGAACAGAGAGATAGAGAAATGAGAGATTTATATTTTTTTGTTACTCTAGTTTAATTTTAAAGCAATGCCACGAGAGTCAAAATTATTGTTTCAGAAAAATCTTTCGCAGAGAAATTTTAAATAGTACGGCAATTATTTTCTAAATATCAATTTGAATTTCTATGAAAAATAAATTATGCGAAAACAAAATCAAATAATTACCGATTATAAATCAAAGTCGAGTAAAATTATTAGTACCTACATATCTATAAAATTATATAAAAACTCAATCAACTGAAGTTCGAATACAGTACTTCTTCTACTATCGACTGTGGTAATTAAGAAATAATTAAGAGCAAAATGAATTTTAAAATCTTTTACATTCTTGTAATTTTCTTCATCATTTCTATGGCCTCCGCATCGCCTGCTCCACGTTGGAAATTCTGGAAAAAAGTTGTAAGTAGTAATTTCAATAATTTCAGTTTCAGTAAAAACTTTTAGTTTTACATACTATTATTATTTTACGACACGTTTGGCTCAGTTTGTACTGACCCTACTAGCTGTGCCAGCGGTCGCGGGTTCAAGTCCCGCTGGAGGCATTCCTTTGTGTGATGAACACGAAATTGTACTCCAGTTATGGTTGTTTATACATTTCCCCCCCCAACGTGCGTTCACCTTGTCGTGGTAGGGGGGCTCAGTAGTGCCCGGCAATACAGCCGGGCGCGAAGCCAAGAAACGCACAGGGAGGTGGCCTACTTCAGTGGGCGGTGGGAGGTGGCCCTCTTCGGAGGGCGGTGTACCATACGGGTTGCTCCTGGTACTTCTCTGATAGCAGAGTGGACCTTGGAGCAACCCCGTGGTTTTTGTAGTCTGCTTCGGCAGACCTGCCGTCGGGGCGTCATAGTTGAATGCGTAAGCGATCCTGCGACGCCCCATTAAGACGGGGGAAGGCTTTGTTGGGTTTTAGTGGGTAGTACTGAATTTGCCGGTGAGTCCCACACCTCGTGCGTAAATGCATTTCCCAACGTTAAAAAAAATGGTTGTTAACATTTATAATATGTATGTATTTAATGATATATATGTGTAGTGTATCAACTATCTGGTATCCATAACATAAGCCTCGTAGCTTACCATGGAACTAGATGGTGCTTTGTGTTAATGTCCCAACATATTTATTATAAATTTGAAACCGTATTTATGTGAATATGTTTGTTACTCCTTCACGCTGTAACGGCTGGTCAATTTTGGATGAAATATGAAAGACATATAGGCTATATCGATAGGTAAACTATAACATGGAATAAC